TTGCTTCACCTACACTTACCACCCTAAGACTAGGGAAGGGACTGTCCCCCTGTACACTGCTACGCTTTCAATCCTGTGTTCAGTCCTGGGTCCCTCGTGACAATAAAGACACTGAGGTGCTGGTGTGTGTCCAGAGAAGGGCAGTGGAGCTGGTGTAAGGTCTGGAGCACAAGTCCCATGAGGAGCAGCTGAAGGAACTGGGGCTCTTTAGCCTGGCAAAAAGGAGGCTCAGAGGGAAATTAATTGCTTTCTACATCTACTTAGCCATGTTGGGGGTGGTGTTTTCTCCCAAGTAGAAAGTGGTAGGAGGGAAGGAAATGGTCTCAAGCCGCACCAGAGGAAGCTTAGGCTGGATAATAGAAAAGATTTATTCACCAAAAGCATTTGAACAAGCTGGTCAGGGAGGTGGTAATGTCACCAGCCCTGGAGGTACTTAAAAGATGTATAGATGTGGCACCTGGGGGCATGGCTTAGTGGTGGACATGGCAGTGCTGGTTTAATTGCTGGATTCAATCCTAAAGGTCTTTTCCAACCAAAATGATTCTATGATTCTAATAGTATTCTAACAGGTTTCTGATCCTTTCTCTCCACTGATGGGTGATCTGTAAAACAGATAAAATGGAAAAAAAATATTCTCAGCATATATAAAAGTTGATTCAGATATTAATTTTATACATGGAAAATGCTATATGTATGCACTCAGATAAGTGCCATAATACCTTACAGTTGCTATGGTAACTAGAGAGCAGCTGAGGTTTGCTTTTTCTATATTTAGGAAAAATATCCAAAATATCTCAACCAATTAAAACCCAATATTGCTAAGAAAATTTTACCTAGGAGGGACCTATCAATTATGCAATAAATGCCTTTAATTCATCATTCTGAGGCATGTCTACATGGGGACACATCTGAGCAAACCTCCAGACCTGACTGACAGCAAATGAAAGCCGTGTAGCCCATGACAAGGCACATGTATTCAGGTGCAGTTTCAGGCGAGCTTGGGTTTCTGGATTACAGTCAGCTTGGCAAATCTGTCCAAGGCACAGGCTAAGTCTGCTTATTTGAGACTTCACCTGCCCAGAAAAAATGCTATAGTTTCAGCTGGACTGCTAAATTGCAACATAGTTGGTCCTCTAGGTTGTTGAGGATTGCAGATATTCCAAGTGCAGCCTTCATTCAGCACCGTTTGCTGCAGACACTGTCATAGAGCACACTGGAGAGTTACATGTCTGAAGCTGTGGGAATGACAGAAACCCCTAAAAATGGTAAAAAATCATGGACAGACAGTTTGACATCCAATTAATGCTAGCTGATGTGCAGCTTTGCAGGGAAAGGCTGCATGTTAGGTGCCTTTTACTCCTCAGAACTAAAATGAAGAAAATACTCAGAATTAGAATTCTGATTTTAAATCAGGTATAAAATGGAAATCAGTTTGTGTGAGGCTGAAAAGCAGCACCAGTTGAAAAACTCTCCTGCACTCTCTAGAAATCTGGTTGCCTACTTTTCCAAAGGCTACTTTGTTGAAAATCTTTATAAGTATTTTGGGTGCTGGGGTACTGAAAGACACACCTTGACTGAGCACTGATCACACAACATCTCTTAATTGTGCATAAACACTTTCCTAAAACTATAGATCTTGTAGGAACTGCCTTTGAAATTATATCACTGAGTGGTTTCATCAGATGCTTACTTTGTGGATTTATTTAACTTACCAGTACATAAAGACCAAGTTGAGTAAAATCAGGTTTCTCCCTTAAATTTTACTGCAGGCCTGCAGCTGAAAGCCTGCATAGGAGAAGCTGCAGCCATAGCTACATATTGTACTTGTGTCTATAACCAAGGAGTTTTGAAAAAAGATGGGTTGAGGTTAAAAAGAAACAACAGAAAGTAGGCAAAGTGACTGCTTAAATTATAATTATAGCTAATGCTGGTGCCCTTAAAATTCTCTGAAAAGTTGGCATCTAAAATATAATGACCAAATCTATCAACCTGTTAGTTCACTGTGTTGACCCAGTTGAATTTTGCAAGCAGTGCTGTGAAATCTCAATCTTTTTCCCTTTCTATATTTCAGACATATGTGTGCTTTGTAAATAACAAAACAGTAGAGTGGATGCATATGAATTTGAATTTGAAAATAATCATAGCATGTTGTTCTGGTTTTATCCTTGATAGGCTCCCTTCATCCAGAGAATTTTACAGTCTGTGTCTCCATGTTTTCAATACAGATACTGAGTGGATGATGTGAATATAGAGGGCAAGAAATTTCATTTTGAGAAAGGGGAAGGTGACTGGTTTTGCTTTATATTAATTCTGAGTACATTTTAAATTCAGTTTTATTCCAGTACAATCTGCTTTGGGGTTTTTTTCTGCAAGAACAGATAAGAAGAATATTGTATTATCTATTTATCTATTGCTTATTCCTATGTTGGTATGTGTCATCTACTGAGTGTTATCTGAGAATTCTTCATTAAAGTGCATGAAAGTGACAGTATGTTGTTCATAGTCCTTAGTATGAGTGTTCATGCTTATATCGAGTATAACTGATCAATAAAAATATTATGAATGTATTATGAACTATCAAAACCAAGAGAGGCCAGTTTGTGAATTTTTTATAAAAATTAATAGGTGCAATATTCTTTATTAAAGCGTATTTCTAAAAATAGTAAATAGAAAAATTATATATAAGTTTTAGAAAAAAATATAAAATCATTACAAGCCATTGTGTAAAAATGGCAGTGTCATCCATGACCCATTGAGTGAATGGGGAAAAAAAACCAAAACTAAATTTCTGAATCCTATCAAAGCTGACATTTCTTAACTTATTTTATGGAGGGCTAACTTAAAATTATATCTGGTTTTTTACTTCCTCCAGTCTCTACTACTATTCTCAGTTTCACAGGGTTACCTAGGAAACTGACTGGGATAGGTTTCATAGAATCAGAAAGGAATAGATTTGGAAAGTACAGCTGCTTTCCCTCCATAGCTGCTGAACTTGCCTTTCCCCACAGATATTTTTTTTTAAATGGTAGCATTTCTCCACCTGCTGGTGAAGATATTGCAGCCTTCCAAGCAGATAACTGCAGACAGGCAATGGAATAGCTGCATAATAAAATCCTGTTTGGGATCGACAGCATTTCTGTGCTGATGCTCCGAAGCCGTTGCATTTGTAGTGAGTAGTTTTGGAGTAGGTTACTCTATTTTTAGTTCATTCACTCAAGGGAACTGGATACAATCCAAATATAACATTGCCCCACATATCTTTATTATAGTCAGACAATTATGTGAAGTCAGCCTGTGCTGTTCAGTAGCAAACAAATTATTCAGGACCAACTCTCAGGCCTTTACAGTGCCTTGGACACCTATGTGTAGACATCATGTAAGGACACTGGACTGTACAACATGCAGAAATATTTATAGCTAATAGCTCTCATTCTCTGATATCATTCCCTGATAGCAAGGACTACAGCAAGTGATGCTTTCAGGTATAATCTGAAAAGTGCAAAGCCTACAACACTAGACCACGGCCATGAAAATTATTTGTGCATCTAGAAGCTGCAAGCAGAAGATGAGGCAATGAAAGTGCTGTTACACACACTTCCTGTGTGTCTCTGTTTGGCTTTTTTTGTTGTTGCTGTTGGTTGGTTTGGTTTTTCGGTTTTGGTTTTTGTTTTGTTTTGTTTTCCAGGAGGCTTCTTTGTTGGAGTGTTTTTAATTTTGTGACTCAATATTTTGAGACTGAACACACATTGTCTTGAAGGAGTTGGTATATATTCACTACAGCACCTGGCACTCTTCACATCATACCAGGCATTCTTTTATAATGCAGTATGTTGGGATGAGGTTTTTTGGTTCAGAAACAATATTGTATAGAAAAATTTAATTTCTTGATTGACTTAATTTACCTTAAGCCTCCTGCTGTTGAAAATCTTAACTGCATATTGTGGGACTGATGCTTGTGTGACAGTCAAGGTCCTACTTGAGCTAAACCTGATTGGTTTGGTGTATTTCTGTTTGTTTCCAGCATATCATGTCTTTGGTCTGGATGGCTGCATAGCTGCCTGAGAGGAAGAGCTGGAGGAGGATGAAAAACACAGAGTACTCAGGGAAGAAGATAGAACCATCTCCTCCAGCAACTCAGGTTTAGACTGGCTTTTGAAAATGCATATGTATTTGGGCAGAAATCTGTATTTAATAGAGAAAATGTACATGCAGGCATAATTGAAAATCAGTTGTTTACTACTTAGAGAAAAAAAAAAAATGTTTTTTTTTAGAGGGGGCTACTTTTTATACAAGCTTATTTGCCTCATTAATTGTCCCCTTCAGGAGAAACATAGTGGACAGTAGCCCCTCCAAATATGTGCATTTGAAAATGATGCAAGCATAAATCTTTCAGGTGAATGCCAGTGCTCATTTTCTAGAGAGATAGGCAGCTATCTCATTCTCACATCTGGAATAAAGGATCATTATGTCTGGTAGTAATTGATCCCAGATGATCTTATTAGCTCAGACAGTCTGTGGTTTTTGCTCAGAATATAGAACTACTTCAAAAAATAGGAGAAAAAAGTAGAGGAGGTCTTCTTTTGTTATCTGTATTGGCTCTGGAATTTTAATGTTGTCTCTGTGTTCATATTTAATTAGATTTTGCAAGCCTGAGGTCAAATGAGGTGCAGAACTGGCACATGAAAAGAAACACTGAAGGTCAATTAAAATCATTAAGTCACTATCAAACTCATCTGGAAAAATGGAAAGAATTTTCTTTTCCTTTAGCAAAGACATTTGGGGAGTAACCATATGCTGAAGGGTATTCATTTTCCTGCAGTAGCAAAGGCATAGTGATCTGACTAATGACTGTTTCATGACAAAACACATCATATGTTAGTAGAAAGATAAATGGCAAAAAATCTTTCAAGTACATTTTTTTCTCAGTTTAGGTTTTCTATTTTTACTTGTTCATTAAACTCTCTCTGGTTATATACCTCTTTCTTTAGGATATTAGTTAACCCTCTCTGACAATTTCTCTAAACCGCTTGATTTGTCTTTGTTCAAGCTTCTGGTTGCCCTAAAGCAGGTCTGTTCATAGCCTTCTTAAATGTATGTGAAGATGCCAATAAGCTCACTGAAGCAGTGTCTTACTTCTTTCTGGGTGTCAGATAGTGACAATGATAGCTGTTTCTGTGGTGATATCTCCAGTATACAGCAGATGGATATATGGTCACCTCAAAACAGATGTTTTATAGCTTCAATTTTGAAAAATTATGAGGTTTTTCTGATTTGTCTGTACAGACCAGACTTTGCTGCTTCCAAATTACTTTTTTCATTTCCTGAAAAAATTGTGTTGATTTAACAGGACTGAATTTCCTCTCCTTGCCTGTCTCTATGCCTTGGTCAGTGTATCTACAGTTTCTCTATATGCATGGCATAAATTCAAAGACAGTGTTAATTCATAAACCAGATTATCTTCAGGAAAATAATTTCATGTAATCTTTTGTAGACAGAACTGATTATGGGGGGGGGGAAGGGCAGAGAAGGGGGTGTGAATAAAGGCCTAGAAGAAAAAGTAGTGGCATCAAATTGACCCTGGCTGGATATCATGTGCCTGTGAAAGCTGCTGGGCAGGGGAAAGAAAGGATAACAAAAAGTTTGTGGGGTGAGATAAGAGCAGGTAGGGATCACTCACTAATCACTGTCATGGGCAAACCAGATTTTACTCTGGGAAATTAGTTTAATTTATTATCAGTCAAATCAGAGTAGGGTAATGAGAAACAATAAGTAAATCTTCAAACACCTTGCCCCCACTGCCCCTTCCTTCACAGGGATTGATTTCTTTATCTCTTCTCATCAGAGGTTCAGGGGACATGGAATTGGGGCTGCAGCCAGTTCATTACACGTTGTCTCTGCTGCTTCTTTTTCCTCAGGGAGAGGACTTGTCACACTCTTCCCCTGCTCCCCAGTGGGGTAATGACATATTTTTGACATTTTAAAATCTTAATAAAATCCAGTAGCAAATAATTTCTGCAGAAAAATCAATATTTCGGGGTTTGGTGTTTTATTAAATTATTAGTCTTGAAAATATTTTGGCTTTTTATAAATCTTTCCTTTCCATTTTCAAAGCTACATCTCATAGAATTTGCTCAGTTACCAGCTCACATAGTTTCTTACTCATTTAATGGATTTTTAAGAATTATTAAAAAAACAAACATGGGATTGTATTTACAATACTTCAAAATAAAACCCATGAGCAGTTGCGGTTCTTTGAAATGCTCCATTTTCAATGCTTGGTGTCCTCTAACACCTCTTCTAGTGCTGAACTGAGTGTCTTTTCCTTTTACTTGAAGACAAATATAACTCCATCTGTTGCATAATTATTTTGGTGAGCAACTTTGAATAGCAAATAAAAGCTGGTCAGACTACTTCTCATTTTACAAGACTGGTGAGGACTGGAGGATGTAACCTAAACTTCATACATCAGTCTAAGGCTTGGAGAGTTTGTAGTGGTTTTAATGTGGTGAGTAAATGGTTCTGTGTGAGTATCACGGGCTTGGAGACCCTTTTTTTTTGACCTGTTTCTCACCTGTGACATCTTCCATGTTTCAATCTGTTCTCCTCATCTAGAAAGGCAAGCACTGAGCTGTACAAGTTATACCACAGCCTAAAACCTGCCCAACATAGAGATTACATATTCCAAGAAAGCTGTTTTCTGTATGTCACTATGTAGTCATTCTTTCTTGGATTTTGAGGAAAGCTTGCTTTTCTGGGAAGAAAGAAACCCAACCCAACAAACCAACCAACCAAACCCAAAAAAACCAAACCCAACCAAACCCAACCAAACCCAACCAAACCCAACCAAACCAAACCCAACCAAACCCAACCAAACCAAACCAAACCCAACCCAACCAAACCAAACCAAACCCAACCAAACCCAACCAAACCCAACCAAACCAAACCCAACCAAACCAAACCCAAACCAAACCAAACCAAACCAAACCAAACCTAACCAAACCTAACCAAGCCAAACCCAAAAAAACAAACAAGAAACCGAGACCACACAACCACCAAAAAAATCAAAAAATCAAAATCTATATGTTTTTTACAAGAACTTACAATAGCCAATGCTACACTTTTAACAAGTGTTGTAAGAGGTGGTAAGAACTATTTTGCTATTTTGGATCATAATATTGATTTCCTCTTTTTTCAGTAAAAATAACACTGTAGGCAATGTGATCAATATGACCAATTATATTGTGGTAAAAATCCAGTTCACAAACTTTTTATGACTGCTGTAATTGAAGGGTTTAATTCCAGGAAGAACTAATATCTTACCTTACAGAGAAGACACATGAATATATGCACAACTATATACAAAACTTTGTCTTTACTTAGGCTTCTCTATGTCTGGCTTTGGAAGAAAGTGCAAAAAATGTTAGTTGAATTTGCATTTTGGTTTGGGCTAGACAATATGACTCCATTTTGCACTAGGCTACAAAATCAATATGTATCCAACAAAATTTTGTATACTCAGCAGGATAGCAGAAGTAAGTTTATAGAAAGAGTCCTTGGTATAAAGGTTTGTAGGAAAATATATTAGGTTTTTTATTCTCCATTTACACAGTTTGATTTGGAGCCTTTTGAAGTTAAGCATGTTAATTGTAAACCAATATCAGGATGGAAGGGATAATTTGAAAATATTTAATAAAAAAAAAGAGTCAATATTAATTTATTGCTATTTTTATGTACAAACAAGTATCTCATTAATTTCAATCAGAGGACAGAATGAAAACTAGGTGTGTTTGACATACTGGAAAAGAACCCCAAAGAGTTCTTTCAACAGAGTCACCTGAAATGAAAGCTTTAAACGAAGTAGAATTCACTGTTGATAAGTTAAATAATTGGAAATAGGTCCCAGAACTGCATTAGGATTTTTCATAGGCTGCAATAGGATAACCACATAGATGTAGCTTGCTACTCAAGAACTTGGAAAGAAATTCTTAGAGGCAATAAATCTATTCTATTGAACTAAAACCAGAAAAAATTCTGTGTGTCCAAGTACTTTGGGACATACTTGGAAAAAAGAAAATAGTAGTTTTGATACTGTCTTTAAATAAAGATGGAACCATTTTTCCCATAATGGACAGACCTATTCTTGTAATTCATCATATAGATTCCAAAAAGAGGGAATAAAGATTTCTTTTTCTTCAACATAAAACTGAAGACACCTGATTATCCTATAGATGGAACAAGAGGTTTTATGATATAAGATTTATATGTTCACATATGAAAACAGAATATTAAATGTATGTTTCTCAACAATTCCATGATCTGCTGAGATAATGACTTTGAAGAATCATATCAAGAGACATAGAAATAAGATTTGCCGAAAATTGAGGCAGAAAATTTTGGAAGGATTCAGAGAACTGTTAAATTCAGAGAAATGTTAATTTTAGCCTTTTCCAGTACTTTGAGATTTAGAAGATGCTTTGAGACTTAACCTATAGAAGAAAATATTGACCCTCATAGGCACAAATTGTCAATGCCATCTAGATCAGGTTACAGTAGGCAAGGAAGACTCACATGTTTCTGTAAGCTTATATTATAATTAGTCTGTAGGCTACATGTATTTGCTTGTTGCCATGAGCAGTTCAAATGAGAAAATCCAAAATTCCTGTAATCTGTTTTAGGATAAAAAAAAAGACATGAAATCATGCTGTTATGAAAAGTCTGATTTGTTGAAGATGAAGGTATCAGACTTTAATTGAAGCAGTTCATTTTCCTAGGAATACTTCTGCATATATTTTGAAAAAGATCTTAGTATCAGCATTTTCCTTATTAATTGGCCATATTAAATACAGAAAATACACATAATTCATATGCAATAGAAAAACACATAAGTAGGAAAAAAATCCCTACTAGTGACAGGGTATTTTTTTAAGTGGAGCTACAGTTGTTTTGTGTAGATTTTTTTTTAGCCTGATAGTTTTGTGTGCTTACACATCTATATCCACACTTGCATTGAGTAAATATGCCTTAAAGACCTGTCCAGTCATGAAGGGAAACTGTATGAATTGAGCTTCATCTTCCTACTGTTATGCAATATTATTGTGAAGAGAGAAATTGTTTCTTTATCTAAAAATACTTTGACCCTCTTCTTTTTATTGTTCATTTCCTCCTTTTCACTCATAGAAGACAGGTTAAGAAGCTGACTGACTCTCTATGGAACAGAATCATAGAATCACAGAATTAACTAGGTTGGAAGAAATGCATTTTTTTTGGTTATCTATATATGTTTTGAAATATCTGTATAGGACTCCTAATGTTAATCTTATTCTAAAATTTCTTAAATGGCAATCCTTTACTGCCTTGGCTTCCTTTGAAAAAATCCAGGAGTTAGAAATAGTGTAATGAATAGATTAATGAACAAAAATCCATGGTGAAAGCTATTATCCAGTCACTTTCTGGGTTTCAGCCTGTATTCCTGTGCAGCTGAGGAAGTATTTATGAAGATATTTCATAACCACAAAACAGAAAGCCACAAAAGCAAACAAACTTACATCCCTCCTATGTCTCCATCAGTATCTGCAATGCTAGGAAACCTGCCTAAACATTTTGGATGGTGTCCTTCATCTTAGGGTGACCAGTTTGAGATTCTAAAGACTTAATTGCCAATGGTTAAATGCTCAGAATTGCAATGTAATGTATTCAAACTGGGTTTGGAATGTATGCTCTGTAAACATCAATTTCTTTCAAAATGTGTACACGGAACTATTAGAAGCTCTTAGAGTTCTATCTTCAAACTCAGATTAGGGTGCTTACTCACTTAGAAGGTGTTGCAAAGATATACATCAACTGACAAAGTCTTCAAATGCTAAAATGATGGGGCAGTGAAAAGCCCCTGGGAAATCAACAGTCCAGTAAGTCTTTGTTCAAAGTGGAATCAAGCAGTGCATGATAAATAAGACTTAGGAATGACACTAGAAAAGAGAATAAACTATATAAAACCTGCCAATTTAATGAGAAGTGTCACTCTTGTGAACAAGAGGAAGTGGTAGTCCTCTGGAAGATGTGTGCAAAAATGTCATTCGTGGGAGCTGTACACACACAAAAAAACCCAAAACAACAAAAAACCACCGGTGTTTTTAATACAGTATTTTATATGTTAACGAGGCAATTTTGAGGCAAGCAGCCTGGACCATGGGGTGTCTGCCAGCCCTAGCTGACAACACCTTGTATGGAAGAAAATAGCATCCATGAGTGCCAGATGTTATGAAACTTGCTGTTAAACATTCACTACAAGCTGAACCCTCATTTTTTATTTAACTGGGCCTTTTTGCCTCTCTATCTCCTTCCCATATGACTTTCTTCATCATTATTCCATTGTTCTCATTTTGCAAAGACTGTTTTCCTCTTAGGCTGGTCATTATAGTCCCTATATGCAGAAAATCCTGTTTCCACTTAATGATGCTCCTTTTTCTCTGTCTGCCTTTCCTCCAGCCTTCAGCTGTCTCCTAGTCTGACTCTGTTATATTTACTTGCTTCTGCCTGGTGTTTCCAATTTCTCCTATCAGTTCTTGACGTCTTCTTCCCCCCTATCTTTTGCTTTCTGCTTTGTTCTTATAAATTCCCAAGTCTCTTTACACCAGTTCCCAATATTTTTCAAGAATCTATTTATTTTCCAAAAAAAGATACCGAGTTCTGTTATCTTCCCAATTCTCCTCAACATACCCATTGCCTCTACTATTCAATGCCCACTATCCTGGGATCGGGGTAATCTCTTTATCCACCCTGCAAACAACTCAGGATGTCTCTCCAGAGCCAAGATCTCGACCACCAGAGCTACAATCAATGGAAAAAATTCTGCAAGCATATAAACATGTAACTTAGCAGTAAACATATTCCTTTAAATAAAGCTGGGGAGAGGGAAGAGCTCATAGGAGTTAATCTTTCAAAATATTACGATTTCATTATGCTTGCACCAGCTTCTGTTCATCACGAGACTCCACCTGTTATGTGTCTGTCTTTCAGGTTCACCTTGCAAACCCTGCTGAACAGCGTGGGATCATCTGAGCTTTCCAGTGAGACACTAAGGTTTTAATGGTATTTTAATAAAGCAGAAAATAAAGGCATTCTCCCTCATGTACATTCCCACAAGTCTGAAATATCTGACTTGTATTAAAAAAGGAAACTTGCAGTGAGAGAAATGAACTTGTAGAGTTGCAAGTAATGTAACAAATGAAAGAAAATATTCCAGTAAACCAAGGTGCTCTGAAAAAAGAAGGATTTTAATAATTTTTTCCCTTTATTGCTCATTATGTTGAGGAACCCTGATATGTATAGTAATATATTTATTCCTTATTTAGAAGCTCAGGTGTCTTTGAAGTTCTAGTTGCACTGTAATATTGAATTACCTGATCAATTTCTGTGATGAAAAGACTTGCTTGGTAGACAAGGGAAAAGCAGGGAATATTGTCTACCTGAACTTCACTTGACATGGTCTCCCCATAAGTTTTGTATAACTCTTGTTTCCAGAACATTTTCAGTCCAGAGGAAATACCTCTGAGAAGACTTTAATGAATATTAATTTAAGATAGGGACGTAAGGAAAATTCTCCATTTGATCATAAATATATGCTATTGAAGGTTCTCATATAACTACTATTTGTTTACAAATAAGTTATTATATTGATTTAAATAAGTTCAAATTATGTTATACATAAGGCTATTTCTAGGAGTAAAGCAGCAGATGATGCTATGATTTTATAGTTATTCCTTCTTAGGGAGAAAAAATTTTGTTGAGAAGCTGAAAAACTTTCTCTGATTAATGATTTAATGGCACAGAAAACATGCTGATAAACTTGAAATTTACTTAAACTAAGGCAAGTTCCATGAAGCAACTGAATAAGCTAATGCCATAAGAAGGTTACCCCCATAGAAGTTTGGTGGTTTGGGGTTTTTTTCCTGGTTGTTTCCTTGGTTTTTGTTTTTGGTTGGTTTTCATTGGGCGAATATTTTTGTTTTGTTTTGGGGTTTTTTTGCTTGATAGTGCCAAGAAATTGTTTGCACAGTTGTATCTTACATGTTTGGCAAAATTCCAATCATGAGACTTTTCTAGGAGGGTTATGTTGTATCTGTCAGCAACTGCCTTTTGTGTTATTTTGTAATCTCAGAGTTTGAGAACAGTCTATGTTTAGGACAGTTTATTTGACCATAGTGTGGTGACTGTCATCTGGAAATTCAAGCAAAAGTTCATATGCAAACAATCCAGATAAAATAGCATGAACTGAGGTGTATATTTGAAATGTACATTTCCTTAAGACGCCTTTACCAGAATTTTTAGAGGCTACTTCAGAAACTAGATACTTAATTCTTTTCACTTTGGATTAGTAGTCTTAAAATCCAGTGTGGTGGGTTTTATTGGTGAGCTGATGTTGTGCTTTTCATTCACCCTAAGATTTATACCAACATTTGTACATATGCAAAATAACCAAAAGTAACTCACCAAATTTGCAGTTTTTATTTGAATTAGTCTTGTACTATCATACTTTTGGTGATATTTATACTTTAAATGCTAAATACTTTAGTATTTTTACATATATACTTTAATATAAAGTAAAAATACTTTAGTATTTTTAAATACTAAAATAGAGGATCTGTAGGCTGCATCTATGGCTGTAAGTTAAATAGTGACCAGAAGCATCCTATATCACCAAACTGATATAATAATAGCTTGTGTGCATCTGGCCTGTCCCTCAGGTCATTCGTGGGCACAGTCTGCAAGCTGGAGTCAGGAACCATCATTTCCAGGAACCACTCCCAACTAGAAGCCAGTATGTGAACCTGTTTCAAAGGATAAGTTAGTTTCATATTAGGTATCCAGGCTGTTCAGTGGCAGCTGGCATCTGCACTGGAGAATGAACTCAGGCATATTTAGTCTCCTAACTAGAGCACAGTCAATGTGGCACACCTTGCTAAAAGTGAATTACTATTTGATACATAATTTCTTATGTCTGAATTTGATGTGTATATTATTTAATAACACCATTTTTGTGGATTCTCAGCTCCATGTATATTCTAAATTTCTCAAGTAATCAAGTTTAATAATTTTTCAAATTCAACATTCTTCAGGAGCTCTTTCTATATTTCCACTTGGGTCACATCACACCACTGGCAATACACAGTGTCTGAAACTACCCATTTCCTAGGATGAAGAAAACAGAGTGAATCTAGACACACCTTATTTCCTGTTTGTCTGGACAAAGTGTAAAAGATCAGATTACAAATGATAAATTCAACATTTTCACATTTATCACACTGAAATTTCTTTTATCTGGAAAGAAATTCAATATTTTTTTTAAACTGCTGCCTTTTTCAGTAGTATTATACAGTCAGCATTCCTGAAAGATGGCTAAAGCAGAAGTCTTAGCTGACAGGTTTACACTGCAGAGGGCACATGTAGTTTAAGGAGCGGTATTTAAGTGCTTTTGCTCATATGTAGTGGTCATAGACACCAAGCACTGAATATATCTTCCAGCAGTGGTTTGTTACTTGTGGCCACAGCACTTGGCTGCTACAGCAGTTGCACGTTCACTGCTGCTACCTGAGATAATGGGCAGCCCCAGCTGGAAGGAACCTACTCCCACAGTGATGACTGATTGATTGTTCCTCCAGCCAGAGTGTTCCCACTCATATTGCATTGATTACTAATCCTGAGATCTGAAGGCTTCAGGTTTTAATCTTTTGTTTGATGTAAAAGGTCGTCTTCCTTCAAACAACAGGGACCCCTCAAAAGTTTTGTGAGCCTGAATATTTAGAAAATTACAGTGGCGCTGGGAAATTTGATTCGGAATGGCATGTTTTCTGTTAAAGCTGAGATTGAATTCCTCAAATCTATTTTCTATTTGTATTGTGAACCTACTGTGTAGTATATAGTAGTTAAAGCATTCTTGAATTATTCACTTTATTTAAACTGTTCATTTTTGTGCTATAATAATCATAACACTCTATTGCTCTTTAAAAAGACATAAGTAAAAGTAAATTTATTTTTTTTTCTACATGGGGAAAAAATATAGAGTGAGGCCTATATGTTCAAACATGTAAAGTTACATCTCTAAATAGTTTTTTAACCAAGTTAATACTTATTATATTTGAGTTTTGAAACCATTTATTTAGTCCTTAAATGTGAAGGTGTATCTGTTATAAATCCTCTATATTGAACTATCATCAAATATGATACTACTAGGGCTTGTGAAGTTTTCCTACACAGTGCTGTGAGTAATGTTTTAGACTTTTTAACCTAACCATATAGTTTCTGTCATTTTACAATAGCACAAAACCCGTAGGCTATTTTACCTTTTGGGGCTTTATCATCAAAACTGTCACACTGCATTCCTGATAAAAGCACAGAGCTCTAAGTAATTTGTTTGCTTACAAAGTTGTCTTGAGGAGGGTCACAAGAGCCTAACACAATTGAGAATATGAGGTGTTGGCAGATAGCAAAACAGAGAAAGGGATTGAGAAAGGGACTGTTGTCACTGGTTCCCAAAATGTCTCCCAGAAACAAGTAGACGTAAACAGATAAATGCAAATATATAGTTTAAAGACCCCAGAGGATGACTATAAAAACAAATCTAAAATTCTGGTTGGCCATATAATAAATTATTAATCTGTCACTCCATTTTTCCACAGTAGAAATGACAGCTCTTATGCCGTAACATTTCTCCTTACCAGAATATATTTTTTATTGTCTTGCACAGAAAGTTCTGCATTTTTTTGAACCTCACAAAAGCTGATGAGATTCTTTCATACAGAATTCATATTCTGCTTTCAACTAACCTGTGCCTTAAAACATTCATTTTCTGTGTTTATATAAGAAGATGGGACAAACAACTTGTTCTAATTCAGATATTTTAAGATTCAATAATTTCAGATTTGCCCCATGTTAATAACCAGAGATAAGTGACTTCAGGGAGCGAAAGAAGAAAATAAATAAAGAAAAATTCCAAGAAACATAAATGTGATGACTCTATACTCAGGGAATGCCAACTTTGAAGGAACTAGAATTTCAGAAAAATCTGCGCCTGTGAGCTTTGGTAAACAAGCACATTGATTTTCTATCCTCAAGAGTCTCCTTTTGATACTGATGGCTTTAATAAGTGTGTTAAAAGGCTAAATAATGTGAATAAAGTGATCAAAACAAAATTATACAGGTAATTTTTATTATTGTCTTTGTTTAACACTGGCAACTAAGTCCCATGGAGCTGCTTCTCACTCTTCTGGGTGGGATGGAGGAGAGATCTGAAGAAGTAAGTGTGAGAAAAGTCATAGTTTGAGATAAAAGAAAGATAGAGAAAGTAAAACTGCACATGAAAGCAACAGGTCTAATTTTAATTATTTTGTAATAGGAAAATGATTTTGCATAATCTTGTCCAGTGAGACATAGAGAGGAAAGCGAGAAATCTGGGACAACTTAGACAAGATCCAAATTTTGAATAAGTTCATCTTAAGATATGCCTCTGAAATGCATGGTTTACCTTACTCCAGAAACTCAGATTGAATCTACCTAGGAAACACTCTGTGAGCTTCCCATGTGATGCATATTTCATGCTATTAAGCTGTGCAAGCTTTAGAATTTTACTAGATTCTTGGAAAAAAACCAAACCAAAACAAAAGCAGTATGTTTAAATTATGCTTTTTGCAGGGATACCGATACAATCAAATGAAGAAATAAGTAAACTGTAAATGTAAGAATAACATCATAACTTGTTTTTTTCTATTTTTAAAATTTAGAATCTTTTTAGCTGGCTTATACACTTTGAGAGACACATTTGCATAACTTTTTTTTTTTTTAATGTGAATACCATACCATGTTTTTTGGATTTGGTTCAGCTCTATATTATTTTTTTTTCTTTTGCATGCCTGTTAACACAATGTAAATTTCTTGGCACCACTTGTTCTAAAATATTACAAACAGTCCCCATTGTTGACATCCAGGCCCTTCTTTCTGGTAATAAGCAATATAAATATGAACACTCTTTCACAGAAAAGACTATTTAGTATTTTAAAGGAGGTGTCTACCAGCTCTCCCTTAGCCTTTGACAGTAGGTACATCTCCCTTCTTTTCAGACCATGGCATCTCTCTGTGATTTTGTTCATGGATTCCTTACTCAGGTTTTTAAAGTATTGCTTATGATATCTCCTGTATTTTTGTTGAATTATTATTTCTCAGGAATGAAGAGAAATCATTCTATCTAGCTTGCTAGCTAGCTAGTTCTGTTCACGGTTTACTTACTTTTGTTTCAATACAAAGACCAAACCTTAACTGCAAATTTTCACATTCTTTAACCAAACCTTTGTTTTTCATTAAATAAATTGTTCTCTCAAATTACCTTCTTTTAAAACAGGTCTCCACCTGTTCTGAGTAAAAGAGCTGGAGACACAACATTCACTCTCCTTTTCACATAGTTGAATTTCATATAGCCATTTCAAAGCAGTATATGTTAAAACTCCTGAGCTGGCTATTGGCACACAGGAAGTGTGTGCTGAAAACCACACATTCCTTCTGTAGAAGCAATAGAGAATCTGGAGAAACTAAAAATCTTTCTTCAGTAAAGTTTTCATTCTTTTTTGTGGAAATTGGTGAGGGTGCATCTACATGTCTACATAAGGGTGACCCAAACTTCACTCCCCTGGAAGCTGGTGAAGTCACTTTGGTGTGGTGCTTTGCCTTCCCTAACAAGACCATACTCACCTGTGGTTTGGTTGCTTCCATTTATTTATTTGGTTTGATTTGGTTTGTTATATAGTGTGTTATACTATACCATACTCCACTCAAGGAAGTGCCATTATGGCATTCATTCCATGCTGGCTCATAATCTGAATGAAATTTTAAAAATACTTATTGTCATTGATCAGCTAGGTGGTGTACCTTGTCACATAAGGATATCGGGTTTGATAAGCAGTAAATTCTATTACTGTCCATTTATGGGAAGAACATAGATAATACTTACAATTATTTTAATGGGTTATTTTTTATTTGAATTATGGAGGAGGTCAGTTTTAAAACCATTCCATTTTGACAAGCTGTTAAACTCAAGAACCATAAAAGTTTAGAAATTCAATCTATCAGTGTCTATAGGAAGTCTCAGAATACCTGAGTAATGTGTAGGAAATACCTAGGAAAGAGAGGCATTGATGTTCTTACGCTTAAATTGTTACTGCTTTTAAAAGCTAAACTAGTAATGCTGGCATTGATTCTAGTCCAAATCTAGCCAAAAGTCCTGATGAACTGGGTGAGTAAAATCTCCTGTTGATTGTCATATGTCAAGGGACTACCAGGCTTTTGGAAACCTCATTTTCAGGAACTCTGCAAGTTCTGCCTCCAAATAAGAGTAATAAGTAAGTAAGGCAGTAATTTGAGCCATATCCCAGTTTACAAAGATAAATTAGGACAGATTTAACATTAGATTAGTCCATCCTTATCTAGGAAGGATAACCAAAGCAAACTCACTGACATGTATCTCTGTGTAGAAGCTCTGCAGTTTTATATCATTCTGAAATTAACAGCCTGAGTATGGCATATTCTCACCAGGAAGTAATAGGAGATCATAATATTTCAATATATGAGTTATTCAACCATAAGAAGATAAGAAAATGTTGAGGAAAGAATTTAGGAAGTCTGACTGAAACACTCCTTTTGCTATGTTGAGCTTGTCAAGACTCTGGTAATTTTTTTTCTCTTGCAAGAAATACTTATGTTGTGAGGCCCTAACAGAAATCCTCCTAGGCAAGTACAACCAAAGAATGACAAAAAATAATGATGTAAGTTTATCTTTGTCTGAGCATGTATTCACATGTTTTACAAAAATGAAACAAAATCTATCAAGAGAGCAAATGGAAGAAAGGGAAGGCGGTTTAAATTAGTAGGAAGAAAGTGACTAAATTTAACAGACACAATATTCTACAAAGTCATTAAAGTTACAAAAAATAGAACTATTGTATCTAGGATTTAGTCATACAGCTAGAAAATGCTGGGACTAACAATACAAATAGCTAAGAAAAAACAATGCCATTTTCACCAAAAGTCTGTGCAACATACTGTGTAAAGCCAACTAAATCCAAAGTAAAAAAAAAATCAGGCTTACCTTTATAAAACTTTTTGTTGGTCTCTAAAATGTTGTGGACTTCTAGCCACATTTTGAGAGTTTGTTCTCATATATGGGAGAGAGCCAAACACAGTCAAATGTGTGAATTTGCTGTTCTACCATGTGTGATGAAAAAAACCCCAAACCACAAAAGAGACCCTCAATCAGCAAATGTTTTATGAGTTCACCAGTTAAAGGCTCAAATATAAAACTAAATTAAATTATCTGAACATGGCTTTGAAGGCACACAGTACTGCCTGTTGCTATGAGAAAAGTAATTAGAAATCCAAGAATGCCTTGGTGAGACTTGGTGAGAATAGGATATGGCTTGCCTGTGATCTGTTTCCAGGTAAGGTCTGCACTGTCATAAAACAGATGACCTCTTTACAAAAAGCACTTTACAAAAAACCTAACTGAGGATGACATGAGAAAAGAAATGTTTTAAAGAGTGAAACATGAATAAAATCTTGAATAAGTATCCTTTTTATTAATAGCTCTTATTTCCTGTACATCTGTTATTATTTGATCCCCAGATGTGCAGGCTCTAGGTGCTACCTTCTACTCTCTCTTGGTCTGTATGGGCAAAGAGCAATCAAGCATCCATATCTGCACAACTGATTAAAACAAAAAAAAAAAAAAGAAAAAAAGAAAAAAAGAGATAAAAAATAAATATGTTTTCTTTGAATTTCCCAAAGATGTTGGATAGATAAATTGTCTTTGGATATGGGTTTATGGATTATACCTCTGTAAAACTGAGTAAATATTTTTATTACTTTTTCACACTAGATTTCAAGCTGTAATAAAGAGCTACGTAAGATTTGTACTAGACTTTTCAAAGGATGCAAAATATATAAATCAATAGCAAATAATTTCTTCTGTAATTTTAAACAGTGAAAATATAGAATTTGTGAAAAGGACATAGTCCCTTTTAACAAGCTAATTCTATATACAGGTGGGGTAGAGTGTAAGAGATACTTTTGCTCATTTTCTTTAGTTGCTACAGTACTACAATTCACAACTAGACAAAATACACAACCTGCCTAACCAGTACTACTCAAACCCACTGGTTTCTCTTTCCTATGATAATTTCCTCTTGAAATTTAGGGATGCAAATTAGGTTTTTTTCTCTAATGGAACATAGGATCTTGTTAGTGAGGGCATTTGTGTCTCTTATCCATATTGATCATTATATCTTTAGCTTAAGAGCAGTTAGATAATGCACATTAATTTTAGAAGATTTATGTTCTGAAGAAAGTTTTCCATGGTGAATGTAAGTGGAAAATTTATTTTGTGGGCTATGTTGACATACTTGTACATATGAGATAATGATTTTTCCTTATTTTTTTCAGAATTCAATGTGATTGCCACAGTTGAAGACTACTCCCTGAAAGGGACCAAAATCACAGCAGGCTTTGCTAATAAGGCTGTAACTTCACGAGATTTGCACTGTAACTTTGAGGAAATTTCTACATGTTGGTCAATCCACAAGCAATTGTAAGTGGTTTTGTTAGTTGAATGTTGATCATTTGATCAGAAATTAGCTTGCAATATCTATTCAGTATTCAGTCTTGCACCAAAGACTTTTATGCTATAATAAAACAATGTAATTCTGGAAATCATTCTATACGGGTGAACTTTATTCAGTTCCATATAGAGAAGTATCTTGGTGACTGAGACATATTTATTTGCCAAAATCCACTGAATTTCTGAAACATCTCAGTAAAGAAAGGAGACATTATAGCGTGTTTTAAAAATTTAATAAAGGGAAAGGTGCATGGACCAGTGAAGATTTTTTTTTTGCATAATATGAGCCATGGTCTTGAGACAAGACAAATCTTAGAATGAAGGCTGGTATTCAGAGATAATGGACATACAACTGACATTTTTTTGCTAAACAGAACCAAACACATAATGAGGAGTCTAGAAGACAAAGAAAATAAAGATGGCAAAGCATCAGATTTGGAAAAGATGCAAGAAAATAAGTATAAAATCTTACATTCACAAAAACATTTACTGAAAAGTAAAAAGAAAACTGAGAAGATCTTTACGAATCCAACCATTAATCCAGCACTGCTAAGACTATCACTGAACAATTTCTGTAAGTGCCACAACCACATGAATTTTAAATACCTCCAGGGATGGTGGCTCCACCACTTCCCTGGGTAGCCTCTTCCAGTGCTTGACAATCTTTCCAGTGAAATTTTTTTCCTAATATCAAATATAAACTTCCCCTGGTGCAACATGAGCCTGTTTCCTTTGTCTTATTGTTAGACGTCAGGAAGGAAGGACCAGCACACACCTGGCGACAGCATCCTTTCAGATAGCTCTACAGACCAATAAGGTCTCCCATCAGACTTCTTTTCTTCAGGCTAAACAATCCCAACTCCCCCATCTGCTCCTCATAAGGCTTGTGCTCAAAACTCCAGGTTCTTTTCCACTGTGCCACTTTCCAGACACTTTTTCACAAGTGGGTAAGCACTGCCTGGGGTTGTTGTGACCCAAGTGCAGGACCCAGCACTTTGCCTTGTTGTATCTCATATAATTGGCCTTGGCCCACCTATCCAGCCTTCCAGAGGCTTCCTACACTCCAGCAGATCAACTCTCCAGCCCTGCTCAGTGCCAACTACAAACTGACTGAAGGTGCATTTCATCTACTTGTCCAAATCATTGATAAAGATACTTAACAGGGCTAGCCCTGTGGTGTTTCGGCTTTGTGACCTTGAACACGGGCCACCTGGGAGTTGTGTGTCAAAATAACAGGATGGACATGACTGAGTGACCCAAAAAGCAAAACTGCTTTAATGGTAAAATAATAAATGGCAAAGGCATAGGGTCAACCATTAAATGTGAAAAAAGGGTGGGTACAGCAGCGTATATACAGAAGATCTGAGGGTGGATTTGAAGGCGGGGCTCCAATCACAGACTGAGATTAGGAATATTAAAAATAATGTGGCAAACGACAACCAGCCTGGGGAGAGAACTAAGAACAGTCTGGAAGCATAACCTTATATGAACAGGCTTCCTATCATCTCATGGTCTTAAGCTGATGCCCAAGCAGTTGTATCTCCACATCCTGGCAGTTTTTTACCCAGTAAGAAATACAGAATTCTGTGGGAAAAATGTCAAAGTCTTTACCTGATGTCCAAGGTGACCCCACTCCTTACTTGTCAGAGAGTCTGAAAATGTCATTTGATGACCATTGATGAAAAAGTCAAAAGCTGGTCAGCAAACAGAACACATTGAAATGTTTACGTATTAAAAAATAGTCATTGCTAGCAGTGTCATCCAGTGGCTATGTGAATAAACTGCAAGGGCTAAGAGACATGCAGGAGAGGATTGTTCTAGTTGGAAAGATTCTCCTGATGCTATCAAAGTATACTTGAGGAGTGGGAATCTCAGCTAAGACCAAACTCTTGGCTCTCTGAGCTGGTAGTAACAGAGGTGCTCACTCTGTTTTACTTGAAGCTGAGAGAGAACAGGCTTTGGAATACATGGTTTTTAATTTTGCTTTCATAAATTAATGATGAATAGCTTTAGTATATCAAAATATTTGGACACCTAACATAAAGTGGGTAGTTTAGCTGTCTTCTCACAAATGAAACACACAAAACAGCTCTGTTTAGTAATATATTGATGTGCCTCTTCTGCTTTATAATATTTGTATATCTATTTTATCCAGAATGTCTGGAGAAATATTAGGTCCACTTTTCTGTCAGTCAGATAAAACCAGACAGCACTTTGAAAAGTCTGTCCAGTAAGTCAAAAACCATCTAATATGTTTCAGGAAAGACACAGCAACAGAGAAGGGAAGGATGAACTAGTCAGCAACAAGAAGGTAGCTATTTTAGGGAACAGAACTACAGGGTCAGCTTCACATTTTGAATCAATGAGTAACAACCATTAGCTTCACATTTGTTCTGAGGAATCAATGTTGAACTGATTGAAGGTGCATATGGCTGAATTCTAGGATGATTTTTAGCCTTTTTTTTAGCAAGATATTAAGGCTTTTGAAAAGAAAACTTTGTTTAAACAGAAGCCTAAAAGGAAAAAATATTATTCTCCCCCAAATATTTTTTTTGGGAACAGTCAGTAACTTAAAGATACAACATGGTGCAAAAAAAGGTCATTCAACTAAGGTAATTATTTAGCTCTTTTCTAAATTGGGATGGCAATCTGTAATGCACATGGCATTCAAGGCCCTATCACCTTAAAACTATTTTTTCTTAATTAAAATGGTCATCTCTGAGTAACTGGAGGATATCTAATCCAAATAAGAGAGTATTTGTGTGTATGTGTGTGAAATTATCTGTATTTATATATCTATATATCTATATTTATACTGTGGTGTAAAACAACAAAGCTACAATGAAGTAATTTATTTTAAAAATTCTTTTCATATTATTTTTAATTAAAAAAGATATAATTTCTCTATAGATTTAATTTGCTGTTTTTGAAGCTTTTCATAGAAACTTTTAAATATTTCTCATAGTGGAGATGTCTACGAATATGTGCAGCCTTGGGATGTATAAATAAATTTGGTTTCTTTCCAAGGAAATTAAACTATAAGATGCAGTCTTCAAATGCTGTTCAAATTCTGGTGGGAATAGAAGTGTCCAGCCCAAAAGTTGGTCCTGGAGGCAGTGTTGAACAATTTTGCTTATTGTCCAGCAGATTATTTCTTCTAGTTATGGCATTTGTTATTTTTTCTTCAAAAATATATGTGAAGTCTAATTTCCCAGATAGGATATGATAATTATTCACACATAAAATATCTTTTCCTGAAGAAATTATCCATAGCTGTATTTTTGTGTAAAGTTATTCCATCATTTCTTTCTTTTGGTTATAGATTCCAAAATATTTACAGCAACTTAAATCTGGAGGCTGGCTGAGTGAATTCCTGGTAATATATTTCTGGAATATGTTATTTGCTGAAAAATACTTTTTCTG